CTATAAAAGGTAAAGTTAATCCATATGGTCAAACTGGCTTGAAGCTGGTCTTCATAGAGGAATGACCCAAGTAGACACGGAATGGAGATGATTCACAACATGCTGTGCTGATTCGGCTAATGCTTCGCCGTGGGGCTGTGGTACACCACTGGTATTATGCTTCGCCTGCGTCATATTTATTTCAGTCAAATTATAGCGGCGTGCGTGTTCAATTGAAAATGAAGAGTGGAAATGAATTCAAATGAGACGGGATTGTGTGCATCTTTTAATGTATTGCCAGGTTCTTTGGTGTCAGAGCTCTATAGACGGGGTTGTTTGCCTCTGGTCCTGCCGGCACACGAGGTTGTCCAGTAGCGCTGGTGTGGTGTGACTATTGTTGACTTCAGGAAGATGGTATTTCTCAATAAGAAGACTCTGTAAATGTAGTCGTGGGGTTTAGATCTCAGAAATCTATCTGTCTGCCCTGCAGGGACCTTGTGATAGACAGGACACACACACACAGACACACATACACATATCAGATAAATTAAATGTGAAAGATGAAACATTACTGTGGTTAGTGCTAGCTAGCTTTTTAAAGAGGAATTCATTTTCTTAAAGGTGAAGTGTGCAAATTGTCTCAGTGTCAAAATAGTTTCTCCTATCCCAGCTATAGTCTACTGAAAGGCTGTTCACTCCAAGAACAATAACTTTAACCATAAAGTTTTTTTTTTTTTTAATTGCCCTAATTTGAATAGAATAGCACCCTCCACTTTCGAACTATCCACCTTATTTTTCATCGCAGTAGTAAGCTCATTGAGACTTCTGATTCATTAGCTGCTTGAATGGATAGTTCATCCATAAATGAAAATTTGCTTTTAATTTACTCTCCTCAGGCCATCCAAGATGTATGTGACTTCATCAGTAGAACAGTAAAGAAGAGTTTTAGGTACAACTGCTGTCCTTGGCCTTTCATACACTGCATGTCTGTGGCTGCTGGTTTTGGATAGTCAAAAAAACATATACAAGCAAGACCAAATTAATACCTATAGCTCCTGACGATACATTGAGGTCTTATGAAGCGAAATGATCGGTCTGTGCAAGAAACTGAACATTATTTACAACATTATTACCTTTAATCCACAGCCTGGGCAAACGGTCCTCTGCGCATTCATGACTGTCTGGAGTGTAGTGATTAGGGATGTGCGCGACGACTAATTTGTTTAAACGAAAGTTTTGTATCCGACTAGTCTAAAAGCAAGAAACCCCCAAAAGATGGTAAGAAAAAAAAACCTCTGTGCGTGCGTGTAGCATAGCCTATATTTGAAATACTTAATCTATGAATCACACTGTCAAATCCCTCAATGAATTCGCTTGCCGCACACTTGCCTCGCGTTATCATCATTTCATTTTAGGCAGTCGTTAAAAATAAAAAAAAGAAGAGTATACACTAACGTCGGCCAAAGCATAGCTTATTTATTCAAATCAGCTGGGGAAATGCAGAACAATGGAAAATCAATCAATAGCCTGACAGAATTCTTAATCTTCATATAACGTTAGCCAACATATTAAAACACAAGTTGAAAACAATAGGAAGGTTTATCAAGAAATAGCATTAAAACGGCTTTTAAAAACGTACTTCGTGTAGGCTATATCGTCTAAAAACAAAATGCAACAATGCCCATTTTACTTACTCAGACCATGCGTTATTTGTTCAGTGAAATTATCAACGTGGTCTGGTGAAAGACGGGACCTGAGGCGATTAACAATAAAATTCCTGCACTTGAAAAAACACGCTCGTCGGGAACTGAAGTCGCAGGCACGCAGAGATAACGAAAAGCAAGCCGATAGTTTCAGAAAGCGCCTGGACATCCCGCACCACCACCGAAGTGGGTCTTCGTTAGAGGAATAGACGGCACTGACGGGATCACACTACAACCCTACAATCCCGTCCGCGCCGTCTATTCCTCTAACGAAGACCCACTTCGGTGACATTTGCTGGCTTTGGCCAGCCTCTAAGCTAACGCCTACGCACCTGTATTGAATATGATTACGCATCGCTCCAGTAGAGTTATTGTAAGACAATTTGACATTACACCGTTTACACACAATTTTTCAGTTTCCTTCTAATTCAAAATAATCCCACACCTTGCTCGTATTTCGCATGGTCATTTTTGAACTGACACGAAGAAAACGCATGTGAGGTCTGAGGTAAAAATTTAGTTTCCGCCTAGATAAACTTTTAAAAAATAATGTATTATTTTTCAAACGTTTTATTTTAACTTGTTATTTAAAATGTTTTAAATGCAATGTTAAAATGATGGTAATTTGAATTATAAAATCATGTTTTTTTTTCTCGTTTTTTTTTTCTGTCGGGTAATCGACTATTGTTTTCAGTGACGACTAGTAGGATCTGTACCGTTTAGTCGACTAGACCCGCACATCCCTACTAAGCACACAGCAAGAGTGGCTTATAGACAACTCTGTGAATATCCTTGAGTGGCCCAGCCAGAGCCTGAGCTTGAACCCAATTTGCAATGTATGGAGTGTAGATTGATGGGGGGGAAAAAAAGTAATTTAAAGCAGTTTAACATAAGGCAGCAACATAAAATGTGAAAAAAATGAATGGGGTATGAATACTTTCGCAAGGCACTGTAAATACTATTGATAGATTGAAGAAACTGTTGATAACTGTTGATAACTATAATAAACAATTTATATAAATATTGTAATTATGTCAATATAAATTTATATACAATTTAATATATAAATATTAATATAAATAACTATATTAATTAATATAAATGATTTTACATCAAAAATATAATTTATTTTATAATATTTATTTATCATTTTTAAGTATTATTTTCTACATTTATTATTTAATGTCATATTAGCAGCACAGGATATTTTTAAAGTAGCCAAAATTATAATAATCGTAGTAACAATAAAACTTCAATATATAAAGAAGTTATATACAATAATTCAACAATATTTTCTCAAAATAATATAAAAAGTATATAAGCGTTTAAGGATGGTATTTTTTTATGTCTATATATGACTATATTTATCACAGTGATAAAGACGATGGGTCATTTGAAAAGGTAAATAGAATTGACCTTTCTAAGACTTCAAAAATAATACTAAACTACCCCGTATTTATTGTTTTAAAAATAATGTATTATTTTTCAAACGCTTTATTTTAACTTGTTATTTAAAATGTTTTAAATGCAATGTTAAAATGATGGTAATTTGAATTATAAAATCATGTTTTTTTTTCTCGTTTTTTTTTTCTGTCGGGTAATCGACTATTGTTTTCAGTGACGACTAGTAGGATCTGTACCGTTTAGTCGACTAGACCCGCACATCCCTACTAAGCACACAGCAAGAGTGGCTTATAGACAACTCTGTGAATATCCTTGAGTGGCCCAGCCAGAGCCTGAGCTTGAACCCAATTTGCAATGTATGGAGTGTAGATTGATGGGGGGGAAAAAAAGTAATTTAAAGCAGTTTAACATAAGGCAGCAACATAAAATGTGAAAAAAATGAATGGGGTATGAATACTTTCGCAAGGCACTGTAAATACTATTGATAGATTGAAGAAACTGTTGATAACTGTTGATAACTATAATAAACAATTAATATAGATATTGTAATTATGTCAATATAAATTTATATACAAATTAATATATAAATATTAATATAAATAACTATATTAATTTATATAAATGACTTTACATCAAAAATATAATTTATTTTATAATATTTATTTATCATTAAGTATTATTTTCTACATTTATTATTTAATGTCATATTAGCAGCACAGGATATTTTTAAAGTAGCCAAAATTATAATAATCGTAATAACAATAAAACTTCAATATATAAAGAAGTGATATACAATAATACAATAGGAGCTGTACCGTTTAGTCGACTAGACCCGCACATTCCTACTATTGTATTGATATACAATAATTTAACAATATTTTCTCAAAATAATATAAAAAGTATATAAGAAACCTGAAAATGAGCATCTGCCCCCATCCAACCTGACAGAGCTTGAGAGGTGAAAAGGCGAGGTGAAGAATGGCAGATAATTGCCAAATGATGATGATCAAAGCTTGTCGCATTAAACAAAAAAGACTTGAGACTGTAAAGGTGCTTCAGCTAAATATTTAGTTAAGGGTATGAATACTTATGCAATGTATGGAGTGTAGATTGATGGGGGGGAAAAAAGTAATTTAAAGCAGTTTAACATAAGGCAGCAACATAAAATGTGAAAAAAATGAATGGGGTATGAATACTTTCGCAAGGCACTGTAAATACTATTGATAGATTGAAGAAACTGTTGATAACTGTTGATAACTATAATAAACAATTTATATAAATATTGTAATTATGTCAATATAAATTTATATACAATTTAATATATAAATATTAATATAAATAACTATATTAATTAATATAAATGATTTTACATCAAAAATATAATTTATTTTATAATATTTATTTATCATTTTTAAGTATTATTTTCTACATTTATTATTTAATGTCATATTAGCAGCACAGGATATTTTTAAAGTAGCCAAAATTATAATAATCGTAGTAACAATAAAACTTCAATATATAAAGAAGTTATATACAATAATTCAACAATATTTTCTCAAAATAATATAAAAAGTATATAAGCGTTTAAGGATGGTATTTTTTTATGTCTATATATGACTATATTTATCACAGTGATAAAGACGATGGGTCATTTGAAAAGGTAAATAGAATTGACCTTTCTAAGACTTCAAAAATAATACTAAACTACCCCGTATTTATTGATCACATGGACTCACTCTGGGGAAGGTTGAACCCTGAGCTGCTGGGATTGGTCGAGGCGCCGGTGCTCGCTGTGGAAACCACAGAGGAAGGAAGATTCAGCAGGTTTGGAAACTGGAACGGGAGAGAGACGGGAACCATACCTCCCAGCATCCCGAAGCCCAGCGGCAGAGACGGACCGGCCGAGCCCAGCAGAGCGCTGGAGGACGACACCTGCAAAACACCATCATCATCACACTGTTACAGCCAAAGACCACAGCACACATTTACAAAGACCTCGTTATGTGTGAAAGCAACACATCCCTAATATGGAGTCTAACAATTGTATTTTTTGTACAAATTTGCCAACTAATAAAACAACTCATAAAAATGTATAAACTAAAAACACAACATTTTAGTAGTGGCTTGTATTTTGAGGAATACTTAGGAGTTCAAGTTAAGCTCTGTTCCAAAATGTGAGGCATAAATTATTACTTACTAAATAAATCATTACTAACTAAAAAATAATTCTAGGGGGAATAATAGAATAATTATATTCCTTTAAGGGAAAAAACAGCTGTAAACAGCTGCCTAAATAAAATAATAAAATAAAAGATTACACTTTTAGAAAATATCACAAGAAAACTAAAAAAAATACTTATTCTACTAAATTTTACCAAAAAACAATTATCTTTTAATTTTAATTCATTTTTTAATTAATTTAAATTAATTATTTTTACATTTCCAATAAATATAAAAATTAACTTTTAATTAAAATAAAAAATTTAAAGTACTTTTTAATTTTAAAATTAAACATTTAAATTAATTTCTTTAAACATTTAATTATTTTAATTTTATTCTAATTTATTTTTAATTCTAATTTAAATGTAATTAAATTAGTTAAATTAAAATATATTTTAATAATAATTAAACCAAAAATATTACTACAATTATTATTTAATGTACATTTAAGAATATAAAAAATAATTCCATTGGTAAATTACAATTCTGGTATTGAATTTAGATGATATTACCACGGACTAGGACATTTCTATAAGTAAAATTATAATTATGCTATTAAACTTTCCTGAGAAAGAGACACTTTCACAATGTTCTTGGTGAAGAGATTAGGTGATAAAAATAGGCCTTGAGTTGGAAAGTACTAAATACAAATAAATAAATGTTTAATTAAAATGTATAAAATTAAAAAATAATAATAAAAAATGCAAATAAATGTAATCATTTTTTAAGATTTAATATATATTTAAAAAGCCAAAAACAGGCCTGGATCACATGAGCAGACAGACCTGTGAGAGTGGAGACGCTGTGGCCGTGGACACAGATGTGATTGTCTTCACTCCCTGATTAGCTCCACCCACTTGTCTGTGTCGCTGACTGTGATTGACCGTCCCCGCCACCGGTGACGCGCTGGTGGCCGGTTGCTTGGTGACAGGCGCGGTTGTCATGGTGAGTCCAGAGATGCTGTTGCCCTGAGATGAACTCTTCTGCCCCACGGGGGCGCTGTAACCGCCGGCAATGAACCCCATGTGGAAGCTCTTGGAGGCGTGCTGGTGCATGCTGGGTAACGTGGGCGTTCTGGTGATGACGGGCGAGGCAGTGGGCGTGAGCTTGATGATGGGCGAGCTGGGGTTGTGAGGCGACTTGGTGAGGGTGGCCTGCATGGGTGTGATGAAGCCGGGTTTGGGCGACGCGTGGTTTTTGGCTTGCGGCGTCACGTGGAAAGGCTGCACGGATTTGACTTTTAAAAGCGACGGCGAGGAAGCGGCGGGAAGCGTGCGTGCCGAGCTGTTATTGCTGGTTTTGATGAGGCCTGTTGGCATGGCGACTACCGTTTTTCCCGCCAGAATCTTCTGAGGGGCGTGAAGAGGCGACGCTGTCGGAGGAGGGCGGGGCTTCACCTGAGACACGCCCATCTTGGTGGGCGGAGTCACGGATGGTCGCTGAGCGGGAATAACTGAGTGTCTCTGAACCAGCGGCAGGACGCTCACACTTTTAACGACTGAAGACGCGGGCATCGAGGAGAGGACGCTGGGAGCAGGAGCAGGCGGAGACGGGGTGCTCCCGCTCTTTTTGGACAGGTGTGGATTCGTGAGCAGTGACTGGGGCGGTTTGGGCAGCTCGGCGGATGGCGGGCTGTTGGACTGGGCCAGGTCTTTGGCGACGCTGCCCAGCATGGCCAAAGCGTGAGAGATGGAGTCCAGCGACGGGGCCGCCAGGTCCTCGTCCAAAGAGTCCGACAGGCAGATGGGCTCCGGTGGGGACAGCGCTCGCGGCACAGTAGCAGGAGCAGCGGTGTCTACTGAGATGACTGGACGCTGGACGGCTGGAGAAGGTGCGGAGTCCACAGAGATGGACAGTCGCTGGAGCGCACTGCTGTCCTGAGGCTTGGGCTTGGCCTTCGGAGCCGGTAACATCCTTTTCTTTACTCTGAAAACAGAAAGGTGCCATTTAATCACAAGACCAGAGGTGTAAAGAGTACTCAAAAATATACTCAAGTAAAAGTACAGACACTCAGTGAAAATTTTACTCAATTAAAAGTAAAAGTATCTGGCCAAAAACATACTTGAGTAAAAGTAAAAACGTACAACTTTAAATTGTACTCAAGTATTAAAAAGTAAAAGGGATAGTTCACGGAAAACTGAAACTTTGCTGTTAATCTACATTCAATATGTAGGTGACTTTTTTCTTTAGTAGTAAAAGTACAGATTTTTATCTGAAACCATGGTCCTCAGTGATTCATATAACGCAAGTCAATGGGTGCCGCCACTTTAAGAGCCAAGAAAACATATACAGGTAAGATAAAAAAAAAATCAATACACTTCTGATGATATGTGTAACCCTGGACCACAAAACCAGTCATAAGGGTCAATTTTTTTTAAATTAAGATTTATACATCATCTAATATACAATAAATAAGCTTTCCATTGATGTATGGTTTGTTAGGATAAGACAATATTTGGTCGAGATACAACTATTTGAAAATCTGAGGGTGCAAAAAAATCTAAATATTGAGAAAATCGCCTTTAAAGTTGTCCAAATGAAAATCTTAGCAATGCATATTACTAATCAGAAACAACGTTTTGACATATTTACAGTAGTAAATTTACAAAATATCTTCATGGAACATGATATTTACTTAATGATTTTTGTCAAAAGAAAAATTGATAATTTTGACCCATACAATGTATTTTTGGCTATTGCTACAAATATACCCGTGCTACTTATGACTGCTTTTATGCTCCAGGGTCACAAATTGAGGTGTTACGAAGTAGAAGGAGTTACGAAGCGAACTGAACCAGTTCACCAAATCGGACTGAACAGTCTCAAACAGTTCACGGCTCAATACGTCAAAATAGTGGCGTATCTGATCCTATGATGAAGGTGATGAAACTCATTCAGCGCTCCAGTTCCTCCAACAGTCAGTGAACTGAAGAAATGGTTCGATTCGGACTGAAGAACAATGAGCCGCTGATATGTGCATGTGTGAACCGAACACTTGAATGAAGGGCCAAATGAGTGTTTTTATGGTTTTTCTTTGTTTATGTAAAAAGGTGAGCTGATGAAGACTAGTTTATTCACTTTATATGCTTTAGAAATGTAAAACATCTGCGTTTACATCATTATTGGGTGCTTTACTAATATAACTGCACATATGTTTCATTATTGTGTGATTGTATAAATGAATTTATGAATTGAACCAGTTCATTAAAACAAATTGTCTGAAAGAATTAATTAGTGAAAAAGAATCAGATTTTCCTGTTTGTCAGAGGCTTTAGATTACAGGCAATATTGTTGTAAATAATGTTCAGTTTCTTGCACAGACTGATCGTTTTTCTTCATAAGAGCTAAAAATATCATAAGGATTCATGGGTATTAATTTAGCGTTGCCTGTATTTGCTTTTTTGACTCTCAAAGTAACGGCAGCCATTGACTTCTATTTTATGAATCACCAAGCAGCACGGTTTCAACTTAAAATCTTCTTGTTCTACTGAAGAAAAAAAGCCACCTATATCTTGGATGACATGAGGGTGAGAAAAATAACAGTGAATTTTCATTTTGGGGTGAACTATCCCTTTAACGTAGCACTGCACAAAGTAAATAGGTCAAAACAACTTGTTTTTGTTTAAAAATAAGCAAGGGCAAAATACTCACGCATTTCCTGTGAGGTGACTGTGAGCCACACGGCTCTCTTTAAACAACATCCTGAGAAACAGAGAGGAAGAGAAAGTCAATCACGCTTCAACATGCTTTACCAGCACAGACGACATCAGTGTTCTGGTGCAGAAACCCACCTGGCCTGCATCCATCCTTTGGGCCAGAGCGGTTTGACCTCCGCCTCCATGAAGACCTTCAGGTAATCTTCAGGTGAGAGTGAACTCTGACCCTCCAGCTCGTAACAGCCCAGCTTCACCTGAACCAGATTACACAGCAGAGACCTGCGCAAACAAACACACAGACACATCTCACATCGGCTAGATCAGTGGTTCTCAAACCTGTCCTGGAGTACCCCCAGCCCTGCAGATTTTTCTTGCGGTCTCCCTCATCTATCACACCTGATTCAACTCATCAGCTCATTAGTGGAGACTGCAAGACCTGAAGTGGGTGTGTCAGATATAGGGAGACATATACGAAATGTGCAGTGCTGGGGGTACTTCATGGAGAGGTTTGAGAGCCACTGCACTAGATGACTACAGTAAGACAAAACAAGCTTTAAAATCAGCTAAAACTAATTAAAAACTCCAGATGACATCAAGTCTCTTACATTAATTCCATAAACAACTTGCAAGTCTTTTATTTTAACTGTCACAAACCTGGGAAATTTAAGTGTAATTTCTAGATTTCAAGAATACAATCTTCAAAATGTTTTGGAAATTGTAATTTTAAAAATTCATAGGATTATTTTAGTTTTATTAAGTTAAAAATAATAATAATAATAATAATCATATAATTTCAGTATTATTAAAATAAATTAATAATACTAAAACAACCCTAAACTATAAAAGTATATTAAATTTATTTATATTATTAACATTGTATATTATATTTTATTAATTTAAACTATTTAATATTATTTTGAGTTTTATATTTTTTATTTCAGTTTTAGTACTTTATTTTGAAGTTAGAACGAGAACTCTTGAAAATGCAAACTGTTTTTGTTCTAGTTAAGGATAATAACCCTGGTATGAATCCTGAAGAACATTCAATTCTTGAAACTTCTGGAATGACAATTTAATTTGCTTTAATAATTTGATCTAATCACATTAATATATTGCTGCTCCTTGATTCTTTAAATCAAAAAGTTGGAAAATAAGCAGCGTTGTCTTTGAAAACCGTCTTGGAGTCAAACAGGTTGAGAATCCTTGAGCAGCTGGTTTGTCTGGAGATGTTCCCTGAGGACGATCTTGAGTCTCACATTACTGTCTGTTCCTGATCTGTGTGTGATCTCAGAGTCTCACCTGAGTTTGTCGTCCCACACAAATTTCTTCCTGGGGCCCATCACTCTTTTTCCTGGCTTCTCATCATCGTCGTCCTCCGAGCCGTTTCTGTCGCCATCCTCTGTCTGCTGCCTGCAAAACAAGCATTCAAATAAGGCAAAAATCAAGAGATTTCTTACTTCCATTCTTTTTTTTTTTTGTCTTTGAAAAACTAGGATTTCCATGGTCTTGGAAAACTTAGATATATGAGGAAGCCTCATTTCAAAAATATGATTTCTAGACTTTGACAAGTCATGCAAATTCATTAAACCTTTAAACTGAATGGGCATTTTTTAAAATAATTAATTCATTTTAATTTCTATATTTCATTAATTACTTTTTTATAATGTATTTTTGTTATTATGCCAAGCTCTAAAATATTTTATTTCGTAGAAATCGTGACTAACAAAAATATCTATTTTTAGTACAAAAAATAAAAATAAAAATAATGTAGTTAAAAAAAAAAAAAATTCTTCTCTTCATTTCTCCTCTTTTCTATCTTGCTTCCTAATCTAGTTGTCTAATAAACCTGGGATTGTATATTATGAATATTGTTTGTCCTTTGACTAATTGCTCCTGTTTTGTAAGTCTCCTTGGATAAAAGCATCCGCTCAATGCATAAACATATAATGTAAATCACAAACAACTGGAAAATAAATTTCAAAAATATAATATCTAGACCTGGAAAAGTCATACAATTTTATAAAATCTTAAAACCGAATGGGCATTTTTATAATTAATTCATTTTACATTCTTAAATTGTAAATAATGAAATAAGATCAATATCTATATATATAAATAAAAATAAATACATGTCTATATTAACCATATTAAAAACTTAAAGAAAAAAAAAAAATTCTGGATTAAAAATAAATATTATGAATATTGTTAGTTCTTTGACTAATTGCTTTTGTTCCTCTTTCAGTTCCTTTTGTAAGTCGCTTTGGAGAAAAGCGTATACTAAACAAAATGCAAATGTATATAACAAACAACCAGAAAAGTCATTTCATTGGTCATTCACTGGTCAAAAAGAGCGAGATCCCTAAAAACACCAAGCTCTTCAAACCTCCGCAATCCTGAAATGTAGTTATTTTAATTAAATGATGTCAGTCCAGGTTCTCACTTGGCGACTTTGGCCATGCAGTCCATGTTGTAGCGTGCGATCTGCTCCGGCATGACGCTGCACACGGCCAGCTTGAGCTTGTGCAGCGGCGTGCGCAGCCGGTCGTCCTGGATGTTCAGACTGAGCTTCTTCAGCCGCTTCAGCAGAGCCTCTTTATTGCACGGCACGAAGGCCTCCAGATGAGAGTAGACGGCGGCGCGCACCGACGCGGGCTGCTCCTGCACCTGCAGCTCGATGCTACAGAGAGAGACGGAGAGAACGAGTGAGACGATGAACACCAGAGAGAGAGAGACTCGAAAACGAAAACAACGGCCGAATGAACTCACTCCAGCAGGATGTTGTTCATGTCCAGCGTGAAAAACTTCTTCCTGCCCTCCATATCGAACTGACGAGACGCCTGGGAGGAAAACAAGCGTTTAACAGCAGCTCAAATGCAGTTGAACTTTGCTACCTGGCTGTTTGCATTGCAGTGTTAATTTAGTCAACGAAGACGACGACAAAAAATATTCATTAACCAACCTTTTTTCAGTGACTAAGATGAGACGTTGACAAGCTAAAACTAATATCTGATGATAAAAACTATGACGAAATTTATGCCGCTAACAAGACGAGACGGGACTAGAATGTTATTTGAGGACTACCGGACATTCAAAATACATCCTATAGGCTAAGTTAACTGTCTTGTCTTTCAAAATGCGTGTCCCTGTCATTGGATTGCAATCGGATGAGGGGCCTTTGCATATCTAGTCTCAGTATGGCAGCCGCAGTGGATGGATAGGCTACCAAAACGCGAACTAGCGATCTGAAACAATGGCCTCAAGACTCAAATGACTAAAGACTATTAAGCATTTTTGTCTCAAGATAAAGACTCAATCAAAAACACTGTTGCATTGTGTTCCTATTGTGTTTGTAAACATGTATATTGCAGCATTTCAAATCTGTCTGTTAAAATGACCCATTGTATTAATAGACAGCATAGTTATGGAGTAATAAAACAGCATCTTCTGATTCACTGACACTATTTTAGACACCTGTTTTCCATCTTTCTAACCTCTCCCTCCTCCTGCTCTGACTGTTTTCTGTCTATTTTCTCTCTATCATGATCGTCTGCTCCTCCTACATCTCTCTCTACCTTGTCTCCTCCTCTCTCTCCTTCACAATCTGCCTGGAAAGAAAAGACCACACACACACAAACAAACTATACATTCATAAAATTACTGAAGATCAATCATGAAAACTTGCAACAGTCATTATTGATTAGTCGGGTCTGTGCAATGCAGGAGAGAATGCTTTTTAAACAAAATACTGAAATCTGAAATCACTCTGAAAACAAAAAAAAATCAAAATCAGGGCTGCACAATTAATCAGAATAAATCCGAAATTGCTGTATGGCACAGTTTATCACATCACAAAGACTGCAATTTAATTAAACTAACAGAATATATTTAAAAGTGAAAGAATTAGGACAGCCATAAATATTAGTATTGGTATCGCTATTATATTATTCTTAAAGGTCACATATTATACACCTTTCTGGAGTTTTATTTTAGGTTTTGATGTCCTTAAGAATATACATTTGCGGTATAAGTATCAAAAACCATCTAAATATATATTTTACAGCTCCTTTCTCAGGAGCTCTGCTTTGAACAGGTCGATTTTGGTCATGATGCCGGCTCAACATCGTGAAGTCTATCAGCCATCGGCCCAACCCTAGTTCGGAAGCCTGTGCAATGATGTAGTTTCCTGACATCCATCGACTGAACAGCGTTTTCTTGACATGTTTCCGTGTTGTTGTTGCTCAGCAATGGCATGGACGCGATGTTGTCTGGGGGTTTGGCAAAAGGAGAGTGGGACTGTGGGCGGTGCTCGGGGTGGTGACTGTGTAGTTCTGACCTCAACTTTTTATGGAAGTCACAACGGCTCGTGAAAAATCACAGCTACTTTATGCAGGCTGTGTGCATTTGTCTGTGGATTGACTGTTTTGAAACTTATATGGTAGTTACATAGCACCTAGACCTCAGTTATCATTAAAAAAAGCCAGGAAATTTCAGTTTTGACAATATGGGACCTTTAAATACTCTTTTTTTTATTTGCATACTATTTTTAACAATAATAATTCATTATAATTAAACAATAATTATACAATAACTGAATTATCCCCCAAATCGTGCAGCCCTAGTCTGAAGTCAGACAGTTATTATCTTGAAGTATATTGTTGCACACAAGTGCTGCTTTGGTGGCTGTATTACTATTAAACTCTACAGTATACACATGCAGACGATGCAGACGGCAGTTCAGCCCTCCACTCCATTACGCTCCTGTTCCTGAAAGCATCCCGTGTGAACGTTAAGAACGTTAATAAATGAATCAGTTTTGCTGGAACCAAGCGCAGATCTGTGATGTGGATGTAAAGCTCAGCACTCACCACGCGCAGGTCCTCGATACGTTTGAGCAGCGGAGCGGGAAGGCTGCTGGGAAGAGGCGGCGGTGGCGGCATCAGCCCCGTCTTCTGCACTCGACCGGCGGCTCCTGCCTTCTGGGCTGCCGCGGTGCCGTTCTCGCTCTGCCCCGGACTGGACGGCCCAGGAGAGTCCAGCAGGCCGAAGTCCAGGTCGCCCATCAGCTCCTGCAGCATGTCGTTCTCCGTGGCTCCGCCCAGCAGTGACATCACCGCCGGGTCAGAGGTCAGGTCGGCCATGGACAGGTCGTTGCTGGGGGCAACGGCGGCGGCGGCAGCGGTGTTCGGAGGAGCGCGGATGAGTTTGACTGCAGCCGCCGGGTTCTTCTTACGGATCTCCTCTTTCTCGCAGTTGAAGCGGCGGATCATAGCGGCCAGAGACAGAGAGTCCTTCATCAGCTTCTTCCTCTTCTTCTTCTCCGGCCGGTTCAGAGCCGAAACACTATCAGAAACAGAAACAAAAGTGTTGTCATACACAGCCACTCAAAAGTTTGGGGTCAGATGGAAAATTTTTCAAATAAATGCTGTTCTTGTGAACTTTCTATTCATCAAAGAATCCTGAAGAATAAAAGGTATCACAGTTTCCACAAAAATATGAAGCAGCACAACTGTCTTAACATTGCTAATAATGAGAAATGTTTCTTGAGCAGCAAATCATCATATTAGAATGATTTATGAAGGGTCATGTGACACTGAAGACTGGAGTAATGATGCTGAAAATTCAGCTTTGATCACAGAAATAAGTTACATTTTAACATATATTTACACAGAAAACAGCTATTTTAAATTGTAATAATATTTCAGAATATTAATGTTTTTACTGTATTTTTCATTAAATAAATGCAGCCTTGGCGGGCATAATAAACTAATTTCAAAAACATTTAAAAAAAACCTCACCAACCCCAAACTTTTAAATGCTAATCTATACGCGAGTTCCATGGTTTTTAATAAAATGCTGAAATTCACTTGAAAAAAATGTAATCAATCAAAAAAGATAATCAACAAATAAATATAACTTCTCTTAAACAAAGTTATCTTGTGTTCATAAATTATGCTCATTTCACATAGCTGCACTGCACGATTAAATTGAATAAAACTGAAATTGTGATTATTTATATAGTCTGATTATATGAAAATGACTATAGGGTAAACGTACCTATTAAGCTTACTTCCATATTTGAGCTCAGATTATGTGTTGTTGTTGCTCAGCAATGGCATGGACGCGATGTTGTCTGGGGGTTTGGCAAAAGGAGAGTGGGACTGTGGGCGGTGCTCGGGGTGGTGACTGTGTAGTTCTGACCTCAACTTTTTATGGAAGTCACAACGGCTCGTGAAAAATCACAGCTACTTTATGCAGGCTGTGTGCATTTGTCTGTGGATTGACTGTTTTGAAACTTATATGGTAGTTACATAGCACCTAGACCTCAGTTATCATTAAAAAAAGCCAGGAAATTTCAGTTTTGACAATATGGGACCTTTAAATACTCTTTTTTTTATTTGCATACTATTTTTAACAATAATAATTCATTATAATTAAACAATAATTATACAATAACTGAATTATCCCCCAAATCGTGCAGCCCTAGTCTGAAGTCAGACAGTTATTATCTTGAAGTATATTGTTGCACACAAGTGCTGCTTTGGTGGCTGTATTACTATTAAACTCTACAGTATACACATGCAGACGGATAAAAAAACAGTTCAGCCCTCCACTCCATTACGCTCCTGTTCCTGAAAGCATCCCGTGTGAACGTTAATAAACACGGCTCATGAATCAGTTTTGCTGGAACCAAGCGCAGATCTGTGATGTGGATGTAAAGCTCAGCACTCACCACGCGCAGGTCCTCGATACGTTTGAGCAGCGGAGCGGGAAGGCTGCTGGGAAGAGGCGGCGGTGGCGGCATCAGCCCCGTCTTCTGCACTCGACCGGCGGCTCCTGCCTTCTGGGCTGCCGCGGTGCCGTTCTCGCTCTGCCCCGGACTGGACGGCCCAGGAGAGTCCAGCAGGCCGAAGTCCAGGTCGCCCATCAGCTCCTGCAGCATGTCGTTCTCCGTGGCTCCGCCCAGCAGTGACATCACCGCCGGGTCAGAGGTCAGGTCGGCCATGGACAGGTCGTTGCTGGGGGCAACGGCGGCGGCGGCAGCGGTGTTCGGAGGAGCGCGGATGAGTTTGACTGCAGCCGCCGGGTTCTTCTTACGGATCTCCTCTTTCTCGCAGTTGAAGCGGCGGATCATAGCGGCCAGAGACAGAGAGTCCTTCATCAGCTTCTTCCTCTTCTTCTTCTCCGGCCGGTTCAGAGCCGAAACACTATCAGAAACAGAAACAAAAGTGTTGTCATACACAGCCACTCAAAAGTTTGGGGTCAGATGGAAAATTTTTCAAATAAATGCTGTTCTTGTGAACTTTCTATTCATCAAAGAATCCTGAAGAATAAAAGGTATCACAGTTTCCACAAAAATATGAAGCAGCACAACTGTCTTAACATTGCTAATAATGAGAAATGTTTCTTGAGCAGCAAATCATCATATTAGAATGATTTATGAAGGGTCATGTGACACTGAAGACTGGAGTAATGATGCTGAAAATTCAGCTTTGATCACAGAAATAAGTTACATTTTAACATATATTTACACAGAAAACAGCTATTTTAAATTGTAATAATATTTCAGAATATTAATGTTTTTACTGTATTTTTCATTAAATAAATGCAGCCTTGGCGGGCATAATAAACTAATTTCAAAAACATTTAAAAAAAACCTCACCAACCCCAAACTTTTAAATGCTAATCTATACGCGAGTTCCATGGTTTTTAATAAAATGCTGAAATTCACTTGAAAAAAATGTAATCAATCAAAAAAGATAATCAACAAATAAATATAACTTCTCTTAAACAAAGTTATCTTGTGTTCATAAATTATGCTCATTTCACATAGCTGCACTGCACGATTAAATTGAATAAAACTGAAATTGTGATTATTTATATAGTCTGATTATATGAAAATGACTATAGGGTAAACGTACCTATTAAGCTTACTTCCATATTTGAGCTCAGATTATAAAAAGAAAAAATAATGTATTATCATACTTGATGTCTTAACAAATTTGTTACTACATACCTCCTGTAATTTCAAGTCAAACAGATCATTGCGCACTGAGATATGATTCTCCATGTGTTCACACTGTCTGGCGGCCATTTTGAAAGCTGTCTGAAAACTTTCACCAAAAGAGAAGCCCCTTAAATGTGTATTTTTTTTTATATATTTAAGCCTTTATTTTGGGTAAGTTTCACTACTTTTTGTAAAATTAAGAGATTAATGTTTAGACTTTTGCAGATTATAACCTGGAGCTTGGATGTGGGAAATAATTAGTTAGATCCAAAAAATATTTTTAGCACAACAGCGCAGATGCTACAGAACACAGTTTGATGACTAGCTGTATAAGATTGTGTGCTACGCTAATATATTGCTTCACAGGCATTACTGGCTTGCACTTTTACATCCATAATATTATAAATTAACAGTTTATTGCTGGTCTGTGGTTTTATACTGCAGTATTTTTTAATGATTTCATATTATTTTAAGGTGAACTTAAAGGGTGCAATACTATGAAAATCACACAGCTTCAGTGTGACATCAGTAAGAAAAAGTATAATTTCATAGATATTGTTAAAGGGGTCATATGATGCGATTTCAAGTTTTCCTTTCTCTTTGGAGTGTTACAAGCTCTTGGTGCATAAAGAAGATCTGTAAAGTTGCAAAGACTAAAGTCTCAAATCCAAAGAGATATTCTTTATAAAAGTTAAGAGTCAGCCACACCTACCTAAAACGGCTCGTTCTAACACGCCCCCACACTGTAAACCCGAACAGTACTACTAACTTATAAAGATTAAGAACACTGCAATTAAAGTCTGTTAAATCGTTGATGCAACTTATAATGTGGAAAATAATGTGTTTTTTTAACTTTAAACCGCATAAACACATTTCATTACACAAAATACACAAAATAATATTCTTTTTAGCAACATCATATGACCCCTTTAATAGTAGTTGTTCATAATAAAATATGTATGAACTTAATACATGACCTAGATTATTTCTTTTGCAAAATATTGTCATTTTAATAAATATTACATGAAATTTATTAAAAATTGCTTCTACTCCCATTAAGCTCAGTGTGCTCTCTTTAAGCTCTTCCACGTTGAACGTCTATGTAAATACTTCATAAACAGACTTTAAATATTAACTGATGGTTGTCACTTTAACTTAAGTTAATTGATTTTCTATAGATTCTGTCAACTCAAATCTACAGACTGGCTCTGATCTTTGGCAACTACTGTGAACTTCTCCAGACTTTAAATCAGTGGAAAATCGGGGTAAAATCATGTAGTGTATTCCAGCCTTAAGATACTATAGATAAGTTGACATAAATTTAATAAGAGGCTTCATACTGAGGCTAGTTTCTGTGTTCATTCCCATGAATGGAATGTTTTATTGGTTTGTTTTATTTGATTTTTGAATTTGTGTTACAGAATCTTTTATTTTAACATAACTTTTTGTACTGTAACCAATATCTTGTGCACTAAAAATGTCTCAATGTAGATTTTAGTGAGCTTAACCGGTACGTTTACCCTACTCAAATGTTAGTATTGTAATTTTATTGTCATTTTGTTTAACATTTTTATTTAGCAATTAAACACAAAAGCGTGTCTGAACTCACCCTGGTTTGGGTACTTTGAATTTCCTGGGTTTCTTCTCCTCCAGGCCGCCGTCCTGCTTCTTCTTCCTTCTCTTTATCACCCGCTCCTCTCCATCTTTCTGTCAATCAGAGCCAAGAACATCATCTCAGTCAATCGAACCATCACAGACTCAAGAGATCAGACAGAAATCACCTGGGATATCACGACAGAAACTCCTGACCAAGAACAAGGACTGCGTAATTTGGTCAAGCAAGTCATACTGTGATTACTACAACTAAAACTAGTTTGAACTGTGATATGATAAAAAAAATCACCAAAAATATTTATGTTATGGCTGATAATCAATAAATAGGCCAATACTACAAATCCAAAGTACTTGGTTAAACTACTTCATTAAAAACAATTAAAACTAGTAAAAACTATTGTAAAATGCACCCTTTAAAGGGTTTAATGTACCATAATCAATGCTTATCCCATTAAATTAGTGCTAGATGAATCTTAAAATGGGTTGACACAATTAAATATCCAATAACAGCTGATAGATATCCAATAATGTCCAATATACTGGTAAATAAAACAGTGCCAATAATTGATACTGCAACAATTTATGATGCATCCCTAATTGCTGCGGCTTAAATATTAATGTTGATTTTTTTTTTGTGATTACTGCATTAAAGCAGACTGGCAAAAAAAAAGATGTGAGACGTCCGCACCAAATACTGAAGATGTTTGGTGCTACAGCTTTAAAAAAAAAAGAGTTCAGTTGCTGCTGCTTAGATATTAAAGCTAAAAAGTCTTCAGTGAAACATGCTTAACAGAGTGTGTGGAAATAATGCATGAAGACTGTGTTTATTGAATTATTTGGTGGTTTAATAATCATACTAGATCATATTACAAATCTATTTTTTGATTAAATGCACAACCCTATCATAAATTAGCAGTGATAAACCATAACTTTGGCTCGCTATAACATGTGTCCACTCTGCTGTAACAGTGAGGATGCACGTGATGAAGATGATCACCTTGAAGTGGTTGGTGTCTTTTCCTCCGTCCTCTCCCTCTGATTCAGACGCGGCCCTGAACTGCAGCGTGCCGGTGTTGATGTAGAAACCGCCCAGTTTAGTGGTCAGAGACGCGGGAACCAGCTCGTCGTACTGCAGACACACAACAGACATGAGGAAGTCTATTTTAAACACACTCTGAGAAAATCTAAGTCCAATCTTGTAGTCCAAATTATGTTTCCTATAGGAAAGAAATACAGTGCACAATCGCACATTAAAAGCAGACGTGCATCATTGTGCAGAGTGAAATATAACTACTACAGAGACATACATTTATTACAAAAACACTTTAATAGATATTTTTATATTTGCATAAGGATGATGGGTCAGACTGGATTTCAAAGTTGTTTTCTGTCATTTTTGGGAGATGATGGTCAAACACAAAGCAAATCTACAGCCGTGTCTGAATTGACTCTCTGAATTGAATTTATTCTCTCATGTGGCGTTCATTGAGAGGATTTCAGGAGACGATCAGCAGTGAATTTCTCGGTGAGGATCAATGAAGCTCCCTCTCATACTCACGGCCTCAGAGTTGTCGATAAACGGATCGGTATCATCGTAACCGTAACCGATATCGATGAGATCCTGCACCCGGTCTCGTCGCTTCTTCTTAACAGTGCTTCCCTGAAATAATAACACACTATCCTCAATGTAAAGTCAATACACATTAGAAAAACACATTATAATATTCTTTAACATATCATGATTAGGATTAAGGGTTTTCTTTGTAAATAAAAACACAGGTGGATGTGCATTCGCATGATGACGAATAAAAGATCATTAAAAAAATAAATAAAACTATATAAGATTACGTACGTATTTGCCCTCAAATTTCCTGGCGAGAGCCTCGACTTCTTGCCGCTCTTTGTCTTCATCTGCAAACGGGTCGCTGGGGTCCAGAGCTGGAGTGAGACCCTGAGGAACCTTCCTCACCTTTAGGAGCAAAAGAAACCATTCAGACAGAACCAATCAATCATTTACAGTCTCAAATGCGAACAGATACTGTTATGCATTTTTTTTATTCATTCCAAATAAAGTTCAGCTTATATATAAATAACGCTCATCAATGTGCAATATAGCCTATATTTCTGCAATGGTTTTATATCAATGTGTTTAATGTACAAATTTCAGTAATCAAGTGCAACGTTCGCATAGATTTTACAGTGTACTTTATTTATTCATAACTATTTAAAAAAATCATTACATTTAAACTACATAAATATTACTTAGTGTTACTTCCTGAAAGTTACCACACTGTTTTTGTGAATGCAACAATCTACACAAAATTACACACAATACATGACCAAAAACGGAATCCAGAAAGCATTTAATAACAGAGCAGCCACTACATTTAGTATTGACATAAAAGAGAAAAAAACACCAGATCTGTCAAGCTAATGTCAATAGCCAAATACCACCTAATCAATACATATAAAGTAATGTATTGCTAATTAACTGATGTTTTTATTCTAAAAATGAGGCGAGATTGTAAAGAAAAGCATCATCAAGAAACCTGTGTTTGAACTTACAACCTTTACCAGCTCAGATCTTTTACCACAACATCATTCAAGACAAATCTAACTGTTACCAACTGAATTAACTGATGCTACTTCTACATTCATGACAGGTTCAGTGAAATAAAAACGTGTTTCGAACATAAAAAACCTTTCCGTTTCCAGCTCAGGTATTTAATAACCACTAAACCACACACTTGTCACGTATATCAGTCTGTGATACAGCTGTTGTTAACGTAAAGTATTGGACTTTAAAAAGTTTCATCTTAAGTATCGTACAATGCATTTACTACAGGTGAAGTTCTTGCGGTTGCAGAGGCGATCTTTCCCGTTATCTCACCTGCAGGTTGGACTGGACCAGCTCGCTGTAATTGAACTCGGCGGATCTCTGCTCGCTCGGTTCTGACAGGCTCAGGTTCAGGCGGACGGTGGGTTTGGGTTCGCTGGGGTCCGATGCCGGTGTCCCGGTACCGAACAGCCCCCCGCCGCCGGTGACAGCGGGGCTCGGTTCATTCTCTTCGTCCTCGCGTCGGCGCTTCTTTGACTCGGGTGCCGCCGGTGTGCTGCTGAACGAGGCGAGCGTGATGAACGGGACTTTTCTCGGGTCCGCCATTGGACCGACTCTCTCCGGTTCTGCTCGAGCCCGATCACACGGGCGCTCCTGACTGTTAGCTTGAGCTAAAATTAGCGCTTACACTGTTAAACAGCACTTCTGCGACGGCTCGAGACGAAATTAACTCGGTTTTGCGTTATATAATACTCCCTCGCAGCGTTCGCGTCCCATCCGTTTCATTTAGTCGAGTGTGAGAGTAATTTTTGTCTCTCTGTGTGAAATCTCGGCAGCATCTGTAGCGGCCATTTTCTCTAGCAGAAAATACAGGATGAGGCGGTGGGGTCACTGAGCATGCGCAGTACGCGAGAGGCTGGAGCTCGACCAATCAGAAGTCGCAAAGCGCTCTAAGACCCGCCAACTCCGAATACTCCAGCAGGAGAGGGCGGAGCTCTCCACGCCGACCGCGGGAGATTCAGAACCGCACTATTGGAGCAGTTTGATTCATCCCAGTGAGTCGAATCTTTTGATTCAGTTGACAAAAAGACAAGTGGTCAAGCAATACTGTTTGTTAAAGGGGTCATATGATGCGATTTCAAGTTTTCCTATCTCTTTGGAGTGTTACAAGCTGATTGTGCATAGATAAGATCCCTGAAGTTGCAAAGACTAAAGTCTCAAAACCAAAGAGATATTCTTTATCAAAGTTAAGACTCTGCCACGCCCCCCTAAAACGGCTCGTTCTAACACGCCCCCAACATTGAAAACTTAAATGTAGCCTGCTCTTTCTGTAAGTTACATAATTACACCAGTAGGTGGCAACCAGTGAATATTATGAGCAAGTCTTCCTTCACTATGAACATTATAAAAAAATTAAAAAAAACTTACAAAACCATACAAGTTTCATTATCTTTTATTAAATCACGCATATGTACAGCTTTATAGAGTTATATTTTACATCAGTAAAACCTTTCTCAAATTCGCTTGAAGTCTGCACTGCTCCCTGGAGCAATTTATTCATTGATCATAATTACGTTAGATTAATTTCGAAGTGTTTTTATTATTTATAAAAAATAAATTACTGGATTTTCACTTTTTTGACCAATGAATTTGACTTTTTTCTATACTAATATTTCTATACTAATTTTATATGCAATTTTTTTGTGGATTGACAAGAAACTTTACCATCCATTTATAGCAATGAAAATGGCATGCAAAAATGTGCATGCAGAGAATTAACTGGTTCTGACTTGGTAATTATTAGTAATATTGTTGATGAATTAAAATATCTTCAGGTGGTCATAATAATATATCTGTATATTCCTTGTCAAACAGGTGGAATATTCAATATTGCAGCCACTTGTTCATATTTTTTCTCTGTTTTTAAAAACAGAGATGATCAACAATGTCTCTACAATTATAGACCTATTTTGCCATGTTTAAAAAAATATTAGAAAAAATATATATACATGAAATTTTTTTTTTCATTTAGATTCAAATTCTGAAAAGAAAAGAAAATCACTCTATGGCTTTAACAACATTACCTTTGCACTTGAAAACAACTCACTGATTAAGAAATGCAAATATGGTTTAATTTAATTGTTACACTAAATGGTTTTAAATAAATGATCTTTAAATATATATATATATATATATATATATATATATATAGAAAAACTTAATCAAAAATGTATCTTAAAGCAACATGCAGCATTACAAACACAGGATAGCAAGGTAACAAGGGGAGGAGCTAATTAAACACAATGGGAACTAACAAGGGGAACCATGACAACAAACAAGACAGAGGGGCAAACAGCAGACCAGACTGGGCAAAGATTTGTGGGAGATAGAGTCATTTTTTATTATTATTAATATTATTTGAAATAACAATAGGGGAATACAAAACAATACTATAAAACAATACAACCCCAAAATTTCACATTTTTCAAAGATTAACTATATATCTAATTGTTAAGATGTCTTAACAGCTTTACGATTGTTCTGTATTGAAGTTAGAGAATCATAAAAAACCTTTAAATCAATGGAAAATAGTCTACCATTTGGTACAGTTAACATACATTTTGCTTTGTGTATGTGATATTTCCCCAATAAAATAATAATTTTAATGATATTGTCTATTTCCAATAGACCGGTATCACAATCCAAAAACAAGAGCATTACATCAGTTATAGTGACAAACTTGTAAAACAATTCAAAAAGAAACAAAGAAACTTGGGACCAAAATGGTTTAGTATAATTACAACTGAAAAATAAATAAAAAATGGTTTCCGACTCTTCTTTACAAAAACACCATAAGGGCGAGAACCCTTCTTTAAACGTACTGATAAAATCATTACATGGATAATATCTATGCATTGTTTTAAAATGAGTTTCTTTGACTTTATAGGAATTACATATTTATTCATATCTGACCACGGATTCTGAAATAAAAGCGAGGGATAATCCTGTTTCCATTTCACCATTGCCTTAAGAATAATACTTGTTTCTTTGAAAAATTTTCTTAATATAAAAGTTATTGAATTTTTTTATCCCTGATAGAAAGGCCCGGAGATAGAGTTATTGATGGAGAGGTAGACGTCTGGGATGGAGTGCTCTCTGGTGGTTGTACAGGGCACTCCAGCAGGTGATCGTGACACCAACTAATGCCCGGTTCAGACTACACGATTTTAGCCCGATTTTGCCACGATTTGCTTGACGTAGGGTGTCGTGGGGATTCGTAAATGACAATGGGCGTCAGGACGCAAGATTCCATTGTTTGAGCACGTGTAGTGTGTCATAGTGGACGACAACCAATTCTGCGTCTGCGATGCTTCACGACAGAAAGTCTAGCATGTTTAATTTTTTTTCCGTCGTCCACGACGAGTTCTGTCACATTGGTGACGTTGACCAATAGCAGCACAGAAGCTCGAAGGAAAGGTGGAGGAAAGGTTCGTGGAGCTGTGGCAACAGTACTCCTGCCTGTATGATGTGTCACTACAGGGACTACCACGACAGAACAAAGAAAAATGCTGGCGAACTATAGCGGAAGCACTTCAGCAATGTTTACACTCTTGTTTTCGGAAGTCAGTCGCTAGTTCTGCCTTCTCAATGACATGACAAAACGACACGCGATGAATGGTCGGGAAGCAACGTGTAGTGTGACATGTTTCTTGTCCATGACACGACAAGATTTTAGGAGTCAAAATCGTGTAATCTGACACAGTGACTATCGTGACCGAGAAAAATATCGTGTAGTCTGAACCCGGCATAAAGCAAACTCTGATCTCCATCACGGTGATATCAAACGTTACTATTTTCAACATTAACATCTAAACCTCTGTAATTCTCAATAGGAATTTTTGTATGAAATGTAGTCAAACTGGTTTGTAATAAGTGAAGGTCCAATGTGAAAATCCAATGTGTGATTTAAGTGTTCCCTTAATTTTTTGAGTAGTGTATTTTCAGGCACAAATACATATGTGAACATGAACATGACCAACATGCTTCTGAACACTAAATATTTCTATAATGGACCATCAGTTTTGACCAATAAAGCTAAGATCAATAAGGCCTACAATCAATCAGTATCAAAATTAAACACATAACCAGTCCTAATTGAAGGAAAACTAGTTGACAAAAAGATTGATACCAATATAGCATGACAAGAGATTTATGAGTTATTTTTTGCAGGCCGGTCATTTTTGACCATGAACACCACAAGTGTAACAAGGTTGAATAAAATAAATGTTTTATGTAAATTAACAATTTTTGTAGTGGAGGTACTTATACCCTGTGTGAACAAAGTCAGTAAATCTTAGTCCAATGTGATAACATTAAGTAACATTTTTGGGAGAAAGAAAATTCTGAGGGTTAAACTGTTAAAAATGTAATGCAAATTTTTGTAAAAGTTTTTGCACTTTATTTAAACCAAAAATACTCTAAATAATATTTTTCTGTGTAAAAAATTTGAATTGATACAATACTTAAAATAACAGCCAAATTGTTAATTTTACAGTTATTGCATTAGCAATATTAGCATATTAGCAATTTTATAGAGTTTATAAATAAAATGTAAAGTCAAGGAAAACAACTGTAAAAAAATGGCGTTCTGTTAATTTCTTTCTTTCTTATTATTTTTACAGTGTAATCACTCCTAATCATGTGCTCAGAAAATGAGACAATGATGGGTCTTAACAATATACCATTTTATTTAAAGGGGTCATATGATGCGATTTCAAGTTTTCCTTTCTCTTTGAAATGTTACAAGCTCTTGGCGCATAAAGAAGATCTGTAAAGTTGCAAAGACTAAAGTCTCAAATCCAAAGAGATATTCTTTATAAAAGTTAAGAGTCAGCCACGCCTACCTATAACGGCTCGTTCTAACACGCCCCCACATATCTACGTCACTATGTGGAAATATTAGCATAATGCCGCCCAAATGTGCACGCAAAGAAAGAAGGCGTGGTTTCAGGAACAGCAGTAGTGTTGATGCAGCATGTCAGGGAGACGCTGTGTTTCAGTGCGCAAGCAAAAGCACTTTATTTGGCCTTCCGGAAGTAGATGCAATTAGGAATCATTGGTTAAGATTTATTACAGAACAGCACAACCCAGATGTTCAAATTTGTGCAACGCATTTTATGGACGACAGTTTTTGAACCTAGAAGAGTACAAGGCTGGCTGTGCACAAAGGGTATTTCAAAAAAAAAAAAAAACGTCAATTCCGACTTTGCTATGACAATCTGGCGCTTCTGAATCAGCGACTGTAAGTATGTTTTGTTATTAGTTTAAGTATTTGCTATTGACTGTTCAAATGCGGAGTTTTAGTAATAATAACTTATTAATTTAAATTCTTTAAGCCATCTTGTGACACACAGTTTACTAAGGCCCCTAATGGCCGCGGTCCCCCTGATTGAGAGCCACTGATCACCTTCAGTCTGATACTATAAATCATTAAACTGGACGCTGTCAGCATTTGTGATTTGGGAATAATAAGGACGGAGACAGAGATGCAGATTGTAATTTTAGTTTTATTTGAATTTTTTCCAGTACATAGTTTCACTTTCCTTCTAAAAAGTGTTAAAGGTGTTCACATTCACAGAACCCATTTGTTAGATCGGGTCTCCATGCCAGATAATATTTAGGATCCAGCCCCGGACACCAGATCCTGTCAGAAAATATCAGTTTGTCTAGTAACAGAACAACTAGTCAGCAGCGCTGTTAATACCCAAACCCTGTCAACAGCAAGTCTTGTCTGGTATCCAAAAATACCCAAAACGAGTGTTTAACAGTCTTCTGTCAGTCAAGAAGTTGACAGAGGAAAGCCAGAG